AGAATTAAAGAAATTATTTATTGTTTGCATTTGTTCTTTAACTCTTTACAACTTACAGAATTGCTATGCAACATACATTGAATCCTCGGGTCATAGAAATATTACTTTACCATTTCCCCGCAAGCACTTTACAGTGGGGTACAAGTTTCTCTAAAGTTTAGTGTAAACAATATTCTGAAATAATATTTTAATTAGAAAATAACTTTTCTTATTTTATGACATTAAAGCAAGTATAAAATAGTTGGAATTTGGCAATAAATTGAAGATTAAATGAAGTTTTTAAAGTGCGTGAAAATGCGTGATTGCGGGGAAACGGTAATGCGTGATTTTGTGTTAATAATAGGAAATGGTATATGCGTTAAAATGCGTGACTGCGGGGAAGGGGGTTAAAACTTCAAAAATGTGAGGTGAACACTTAGAAGTTTGGTTCAGTGTACACGCATTAAGATTAAGAAGATCAACAATTTTGATGTAAATCTTGAATAATTTAATGTAATACGTAACTTGAGAAATCATAAATAAAATTATTAAATAATTAGATTTTTTTAAAGACCATGTGTGTGTGTGAAATAGTGTCATATATTGATATATTCTTGTCGGGTCGGGAGAACAATTATTATTTGCCTTTTCTTTATTCTGATAAAAATCATACTCGCTCCAAAATTCGGTGCAATTTTTTTTTTTTTTAGAAAATGTGCAGTAAATATTTATTACGAACTTTTAATGTGTAACTACTATAAATGAAATCTAAATATATTAGATGTACAAAAGGTTACATGTAATTTATAGACGATTTAGCAAAACGTAAGGAATCACAAATGTATTTTTAAACTATATAAAGCATGAATTTAAAAGGTATTTAGTTTAGATTTCTTTCGTTCCACTTGTACACCATTCGATACACTGAAAATCAATTCAACACTCTTTTCTTCCTCTTTTTTCTTGTTTTCTCGTTATAACATAAGAAAAATAAATGCCTTATAACTCGCTGTTAATTTAGTTTGAATTTCTCGGGATCGAGAAATCAAGGAAATCAATTTTTCATGTACATTTAAATCTACGTCGAATGTACAGTTGAATTTTAGAAAATTAATCAATGTTCTCCATTATATCACTGTTTACATGTATAGTGCACATGTCCGCATCGTCGCATGAACAACAATGATCGATCCACAATACCATTACTGTATTAGAATATACAAGGGGCGGGGCTTACTGGCGGTGAGATTAAAGCGGGGTCCGCTTCACGCATCAGTGCGTAAAGCGGTCCCAGGAAGCGAACGCCGGGTTCGCTCTAGCGGACCCAGAGCTGACCCCGAGCGAACGCGGAGCGAACCCGGAGCTCACCCAAAGCGCACCCGGAGCGGTCCCAAAATTTCTGAAAGCGAACCCAAAGCGGACCCCGAGCGAACCCAGGAAGCGAACCCGGGGTCCGCTCCGGGTTCGCTCTGGTGTTAGGTTGTGTCCGGTCGGTACTGTATATTGGATGGGTGCAAGACTAACCCTAATCACTCGACTAGTGAGGACTAACCCTAAATATCTCAGGTTGTGCAATGCAAGAAAACTAACCCTAATCAATCGAGTGGTGTGCGAGAACTAACCCTAATATCTCTGGGAGGTGCAAGCAATAAGCAAATTCAATGAAATTGTATTCAAGTACAAATTCAGAAATGATGGCTTTTGAATGCAGGACAACGGCGTCAAGGATTGACGTCAGATTATTGTGACGTCATAAACGTCGATTGTTCATCCGCACCATCGGACTTTGGCGTGTCAGACCATCGCACATTAGCGTCGCGCGTCTCATAGGAAACCAACCATCGGACTTTTGCGTGACCATCGGACTTTGGCGTCCGTAAAGACCGCGTGCCATCGGGGTTTGGCGCAGACCATCGGGGTTTGGCGAGACCATCGGACTTTGGCGTCACCATCGCACTTTGGAGTCTTACATATATTAACCCATTATTAAAAGTAGGTACTTGTATATTATTTTATTCTTATTTCATTGTGAGTTAGAGTAGATTTTCTTCTGCACGCAAGTAACTTTACTCATTAAGAGGCACCGCATTGAAAAACCAGGCGATGGATGGCACGTTGCATGTCATTTTAATTATTTTCTCATGTACACTTATTAAAGCAAGTGTTTACATATTACAACATCAACAAATTATTAAGTATACTTCTTGGCCTATTTTTTCTAAATGCTTAATTTTAAGTGCAAAAAGGTTACATGAGGGTAAAAAAAAATGACTACTTTTTTATTTTGTTTTAAGAGGCAGTCCACCGAAAAACCAGGGGGATTAAACTGATAGGCGGCCCATGCAATGTGACAAATATTTGATATTATCTTGAAAACATTACCAATATAGTCCAAATGGAATTATTAAATCGAAGTTTTGTTTTAAAAATGTTTATTCAGTCAAATTAAATTTTGTATTGATGACTTCCCCAATATAAACCGTGGAATCTAGGTTAGAAACAAGAACACCAATTTCTAAGATATTTTAACAGAACTATAGTTAAAACCAGACTAAATCTAAGAAAAAAAATCAGTGGGAAAAATACTTTTCAATTACTCTTTAGAGTGCATTATCCTAAATGTTTAATTATATTTAATTCAAAATGTATTATGTTCAAGGATGTGAAAAGATGAGATTTTTTTCTGATTATCCGGGAATAATGAATACTTTAGATTTACGGAGAATTTAACTCAACGAAAGTTGAGATGTTTACTTTATGATGTTTGTAAAAAGTTAAAAATACATATATATGCAATAAATAGCCCTCGGTACGATTAAAAATGTAAAAGAAACAAAAGAGAAGTCAAAAAATATTTATTGCTGAACTCCCCACTTTCAGTTGGTATGTAACTACACACTGTATATATATAAGAACTTATTTTCTTATTTATTAAGTTCAATTTTCAAAACAGGAAACACATGAAAATATTTTCTGTATGTATAAACAATTTCGCCACAGATAGAATCTAACTCTTTAATAAATTCCTGAGAAAATAAAAAAAGAGAACCTTTACTTTGAAATTAGATATTTAATGAAACTAGGCTGTCTGTCCTTAGTTGTTGCATATTGCATGTACAAATACCTTTTTTAAAAATAACGAATATCAAAACATCAACGGATGTTTTACATGTTATTACGAAGGTTGTCCGTAAATGTCGTGGACAACATTGATAATTACTGACAATCATTGATAAAATATATGAAACTATTTTTTTCTTGAAATCAATGTTTCAATTAATACATATGCATATTTTTAACAAAAACTAAGCACAGAAAGATACATTTTTATAAGATTCGAAAAAGACACATATTCATACCCTGAGCACTAAAATGAAAACCTTGACGTTCCCCGACGTCAAAAGCTTACTACATGTAACATTTCATCATCAAAAATGTGTACAAACCGTTCATATTTTATATGTTAAAATAATATTTTACTCTTCCTGTCTCAAATCCTGCAAATTATCAAACCTTTGTCCGCGTACAAACAACTTTATTTGAGGAAATACAACAAAGTCACGTACGAAATTCAAATTTTTACAATACTGCAATATCGAAATGAAGGACTTTCTTCACGCATATCATCCTGTAAACTGTTCAATCCGTACAAAAATTTTATATTCAACTTAAATACTTAAAAAAAAAAGGCTTCATTTACCGACTGTTTACAGCCTTAATGGGTCTCTGATAGTGTTTTTTTTTATGTCTACACAAAGTTTTTTCACTGCTCTCTGCTCCAAATTTTCCGTAAACGTCTTTTTTTTCGAACAATGTCGATTTTTTCTTAAAACATTCTAACATCGATGTTTCAGAACAACTCTAAACGTTCAATTTTTGCAGGTTTAAAGTTCTAACTTTTGTCAAAATCATAATTTAAAAGCAAATCGAAAAATACTCATCATTCCTGGATAATTAGATGGAACTAAAATCTCATCTTTTCACAACCCGATTTTACAAGAAATGTTTATTATATTATAAACACTGAAATACTTATATTTACCCATATCATAACAAAACAATTTAAAAACTAGTTCTCAGACATGTATAAAATTACAAATCAAAACACACATGTTTTCTTTTACATCTAGCAGAGACGCAACCCTTTAATAAAGTATATTTTGATACAAAAATATTATTTGACATTAAGGATTATAATTGCACTCTGACGAATAATTTAACAGAAAAGAGACATTGTTAATTTTTTAATCTCTTTGTTTGCACATTTGCAAACTTCTCCTGAAAACACATAAGTATTTAACTAGGACGAAATATTTATCAGGTATATGACGTCATTGATACATCAATTGAAACGTGAATTCAACCTGAATAATTCAGCCAATCTTAATTTAAATATTATTTCAGGAGGCGATTATGAATTCTATTTTGAAAATAAGGTATTTTTTGTGATTAGTAGATTAACCGATGCCAGATAATAATTGCATCGCAATTTAAAAAAAAAAAATCGTCTATATATTTTGTTAGAAAACTACTGTCAAATGTTTTCCCACGGATTTGATTTGTGGGAAACCGGTCCAGAAAGATTAAATATTTCTAGAATTAGTTTAGCGTGAATTATAGTCCTGTTTAAATGTATTGGAAATTACAATTCTTTGCTTCTGACCAACTTTCAATGGTTTATGATGGGAAAATCAAGAACACGAAATAGAAATATAAATATTTTACTAAATCAGCAATTTTCAAAAAAAAATCTTCAATTACTTATTCCACTTGGACAACACTGATATTGCTTTCAATAAAATATCAAGAATTCGTCACATTTTATGTGCTGCCTATTAATTTTATATTGTATGGTTTTTCGTTGAACTGCCTCTTAAATAACTCCTTTTCGTTTTCGCCGAATTTTTAATACTCTTTTTCTATGTGTATCAAATATAAAATAAATGCCATTTTTGGTCTTATCGAGTCAACGTTTTCTTAAATAAACGATTTACTTCCGTGATTCAGCTTGTAAGGTTTACATGCACAGTCATGTACGTGCTCATTCTTATCATAGGGATTTTTATGTTTTCTTCTGCTTATGGTGAGAAAACTTATATAATCTCAATGTTTTCATCATTTTCTTGGCTTGGCAAAGTTCTGTTATTGTATGTAAATTATTATTCATTCAATGTTTTGAAATTATCTTATCAGACACTTGCTTGATTTTTGTATGACCCATTATTGTTTTCTTTGAATCCACCGTGGGAGTAAATGAAAATTAAACAAAGAGAGAACAGTTCCTTCGAAACGAAAATACAAAGTTGTCTCTTCTGTTTTTTTTTTGTTCAATCAAATCGCGTAAAAAAAAAAACATTTTGTAAATTGTGTTAGATAATGAAATGTTGATAAAAAAGTAAAGTAATGCTTCTTTAGTTTTTTTTTCTTTAAAAATGCGTAGTTTCTATAATAGATACTGGTTGCATGATGAGATGTTTCAGAAGAAATGCTTTATGTTTTGTCATACACACGTCTTACGTCTTGCTTGACGTGTTATGCATATAAGATAACGTAGAAAGGACAAAATCACAGAACATAAATTACCTAAAATGGATATGTATGGTATTAAGCTTTTTTTGGTGAATTCAAATTCATATATGAATACAAAACAGGCTTATAAAGATAAATCTATCACTCAGTGTTTACAGCCGGTAAAGTAACAATTGCACAAATATCATATTGATCCCTATGTATCAACGCTAAATTTCATAAAAGCTTTTATACAAATGCAGAACCGTATTGCAGGTTTCTTTATAGGGTGTTTTGATAAAGAATATGTAAATAATATTAGGGAAACCTAACTGGGTTAGCATAGAGTTTCTTTAATTTTAAAGGGGAAATGGTTTTGTCTTCGGGATGGAATATTTGTCTGTTTATTATACGCTTCAATTTCTATTTGAGTAAATGCTCAAGTACGGAAATGGACCAATGCTAGGGGCGCCCGCGTGGTGATGTGGGAAGAGTGTCTGCTTTAGAGTAGCGGGGTAAGGAGTCAATTATTACCCCGCGGTTTAGAAACCCACCGTGTACCCTGGAGATCGGTCCTTCGGATTAAACCGATTCATGTGAGGTCCCGTGTCACAATAGGTCCTTGTACGAAAATGATTCCTCAATAGCGCCCAGTGCTGAGTAAAGGACAAAATTTGCAACTCTCCACCGGTAAGTGGTGGCGTTTCCGTATGAGTGAAAAATTCTCTAGAAGGACGATCAAACAAACACAATTTAAAAAAGATGAATTAAAGAAACGTGCGTACTTTTGTTTCCCGTAATCACATCCAATGATATTATTCTAATATTAAAATTTAAGCAGTCTACACCACCAAACCCTTCTCCTCAAAAAATGCTTTAATAAGCACCTACGTTATACACTGTATTTGTACATGTACCCCGCTAAAATTCATGCTTTACGGTATTTCATTAGAATGTGTTAAGGTGGTATTTATATCAAAACCTGTTTATTTTTTGTCAAATATGAATAATACTTGTGCAAATTGAAATTATAATGCTTAAAAATGATTTAAATAATAAAAATAAAGATAAAGCAATAAATAATAATTTTTTCTAACTCGTCAAATTTTCAAATGGTTAATAGTGGTTTACTAAGTAAAGGAACAATTCTGTGGGCAATTGTGTCTGTGGTATTAATTAACCTTTTTATTTCTGATTTACGCAATTATGTAAAAAATATTTTAAACGTACCCTCCTATAAAAGAAGACAAAATGTGAATTGTACTAAATGGTGTTTGCTTTTTAATTCATTTGAAGTGAATCTGAAACCTACTTTTTTAAATAAAATTATACGGCAATTACCCTTACTTCATACGGAAATAATTTTCTTTCGCATTATTTGTGCTTGAATATAACTTTATTTCATTAGAAAATCTGTCTCTTCGGAAACCAACTTGGCAGAGTTCATCACATGATGCCTCTGTTTCCGGTCCTGAAAAAGCGGTTGATGGTTCGAAAACAGACTTATCCTATAGTGGACATAAATGTAGTGTATCAGCTGATAAACGGATGAATGCCACGTGGTGGGTTAACCTTACCGACATTGTTAGCATACATGACATTGTGATTTACTACAGGACCGACAAGGAATCCTGGGGTAAGTATAGAAACATGAGATTATGAAAAAAAAAAAACTGGTAAGAATAGATTATGACAGATCCATAATAAAAGAATACAACCGTTGAAACTTTTACATACAATTAACAATAAAGAAAAAATAAGTTGTTTCATTCCATTTTCTTTAAAATTGTCAAATACACAATTCCAGGCATAAAAACGCGAAAACAATACATTTCATTGCAATTTTCTATTTTTTTTTCAAGTGTAATATTGGATCTACATGTATATTAATCTCAAATATTTATCTTCAATATTTAGCTTTCACCAATCATCAGGTACACTCAAGTATACACGATACGAAGGAATGAATTTAAAATCTTTTTGTTCAGTCATATAATTATTTAACATTCAATTCATTAAGAAATGTATTCTTTCATAATTTTCTATTGTCACAAAGAGTTCAGGTTATATTAAATGTATTTTGAACAAAATTAAAGAAGTTTTGATTGTTTTAAAAAATTCTGGATGTGTGAAGAAGAATGTTGCTTTATAGTCATTTTTTTTTTATCGTTTATTTAAGGACTTTCTTTGATTAAATTCTGGAGGTGCGTGCGGTACCTATTATCTGCTTCTATATAATTTCTTCAATGAACCCTTACGGCACATATTGTAGTCCATCGGTAAATATATCGCCAGCGACTAGCCTTTATTTTTCTCTTGAGTAATGATTGACAAAATGTACAGTCTTCCAGAGGCATGTTTTAGGTGACAATACAAATTTTTAGCAATTTACCATTTTGTTGCCGATTTATTGAGTTAAAATGATTATTGAAGTGATAGAGAGAGAGAGAGAGGTGCAATGAGTGTTGCAAATGCAAAGAAATAGACAAACAGAAGGGTATCGAGTGCCAAAGTTTTTTTGTTAATGAGTTTGATGAAATTGAATAGTGAAAGCAAAATATTAGACTGGTTAAAATATCCATCTTTGAAAACAATAAAACGAGTCTTTATATCAAAATACTTCAAGTTTATATTTCTAGGACCATCAAATGGATACACTAGCAGATTTATGGGATTCTACGTGTACATTTCAAACACAACAAACAGAGAAGATGGTCACTTGTGTTTTCATGACACAAACTACACCACAGCCACAATCCCCACCGTTGCTAACATTACATGTCCATTTTATGGACAATACGTGATCTACTATAACGAGAGACCAGTCAGAGACAGTTACACGACAGGACACTCTACATATGCCTTTAGTGAACTTTGTGAGGTCGAGGTTTATGGTAGGTGAAGCATATTGACTTAATAAAATTGACATGGTCTATAAATCAAAGCAGATTTTTCTGAATTTATAGATATACATATATATTTTTAATTTAGTATTTATTTTTAATTATCCCTTTATAAATCAGTTCATACAATTGGTTTTTTTTTTATTTATGTCACGTAATTCATTGATTATAAGGTTGTTTAAGTCCCAGACGTTACGGATCTGATTGCTCAAAAGTTTGTCCAGAAAACTGCAAGGAGTACTGTCACATAGAATCGGGAAATTGTCTACTGTGTTCCACTGGTTACAGAGGGGACCGCTGTGAACAAGGTAGGGAGTCTGAATAAGGCATGTGCATTAATGACAAACAAACTAATGAAACAAGAATATCAGCAGTTTCTCACAAGATCATCATTTTCTTAGTCTTATGGTCGCCAAAATGACCTTGTCAGCAAATATACTTACAAGTCATGTAATCGTTATATCAAATGCTAATTGATGATGTTGAAACTAATTGTTAAAACAAAAAATACATATAAAGTTGTTAACGGAACCCCCCTGCAATTTCACGATCATGACAAGGACCACCCGGCGGGGGTAACCGATCGGCATAGGACACTCCTCCATGGTACTTGATCATTTTTCTTATTCTTTTTTTTTATGTAATAAATCAAGGAAAATTATAGATCTGAGTACAAATTATTTTATAAATGAATAAAATCTATGAAATGTATATTTTATTGTTTATATTTATAAATTCTTCATGTTATACGTGTTTGTTCAAATCTTTAAGATCCAAACATACCTTCAGCTTTCTTTCTGGATAAATTATTACAACACAAGAGTTGCGTAAATTGTCATTTATGAAAAAGAAATGAAAATTGGTATTTAAAATACAATAAATGGTAAGATCCAAAAACCCTATATAAATATTTTTTAACATTCAAAAAAATCGTATAATGATCTCCACTGTCACATCTCACAATTTGAAATAACAGAACAAAATGTAAAACACATATACATAACAAGCAAAAAGTTGTTAAAAATAAAACAGAAGCCCACAAAATGTAAACAACATTTGCAAAACTGTAAACCATGATTAAATCAAAATGTACATGGACGCACTACATGCACAAACAAATCCACACGTGTATATCTTGGAATATTTTTGTTTAATGGAGTGCACTCATTCACGAAAACAACGGCTTATTGTGAATGAACTATTGTTTATGTAGGTTTTAATTAAACAATATTTTATTCACAAATGTTAGGGTGAATTGCCTTTGTCAGCTCCGCCCATTCTTTCTGTTTCAGTTTGTGAAACTGGATTTTATGGAGAAAAATGTAACTATACTTGTGGATATTGCAAAGATAATAAAACATGCTATCCAACAAATGGGACGTGTTTGAAAGGATGCGCTTCTGGCTTTCAGGGATTGCTTTGTAGTACAGGTAGAAAATTTATGGACACAGTATGTGGGTTGATTGTATTATTTTTACTTTAGAGAAGTCTAGAGATTAATAAAAAAATATAAATGCATTTAGTATATAAAAAAAGACTGAGTTTGTCATCAATTGGAAAGAAAAAAATCTTATTGTGGAGATAAAGTAAAAAAAAAAATCTAACGGCATCTTTAGCTGTAACCAAAATGATATTCTTTAAGTTTTTCAATAAATATAAACATCATTATTTAGAATGTGCACCTGGATTCTTTGGGGACAATTGCATCCTGGCTTGTGGTAAATGTAAATCTCCCAAGAAATGCAATCCAATAAACGGGACGTGTGAAGATGGTTGTATTGCGGGATATGGAGGTTTGCTTTGCAATGAAGGTAAAAAATAAAAAATTGTAATATCGAAAAAATTATGAACACGAAGAAATACACATTCCTACTTAATGTATGAAAATCATCAAAACGATTAGATTAATTGTCAAAATAAATATAGTAAATCCATGACTAAAAATGGATACACTATACTTTATGCATATTAAAAAACAAATTCAAACATTTATTTTTTTTTATATAAAATATTTTATTTCAAATACATACATAGTTTCATATTTGAGGCATCACCTCCGCAGAGGCCCTCATCATATACCTCACCTGGGGTGACAGGGGCTCCCTGGATCGGCAACAAGTTTTATATATGTATGATAGGTAAATCAAGAATAATTTTGTTAAATAAATATATCAAGCATAAACTTATATAATATAGTGTATGATTTTAGTAGAAAGTAGCTCTATTATAAATATAGTTGGTAACATTGACATCATGATTATACAATTCAATAGACGATAATTAGCTGCTTCAAAAATATGCAGCAGTGACATCATGTTTACAAAACAATATAAGGTTATAGTAGAATATACATAAATTTTACAAACAGATAGTTGACAGTAATATCATGCGGCAGGACTAGCTTTTATAGTTCACCTTCACAGTCCATTTTGTCCTGCCACATGGATGTACAGGTAGAGGGCCAGCTCACCCTCTACTACATATAAAATTGATACAATTAATATACATATTATTACATGTATAAGTTTTGTGACAACAGTTCAAGGATTTTAAAATCTGAATTTATACATTTTGTCTTTTTAATAGTAGAATACAATTGCATCAGCGCGTTTTTTTTAAAAAGCGACACATTCCTTCATATGTAACTTGGTCTTTAACAATTCTACATTTCATTTTATATTTGTAAATCTTACACGCCAAGAATGACAATGTATTATCTAAAATAAAAGGGTATTAGTTGTTGAAAATAATAAAGCCTATAACAATCATTTTCCATGTTATATCTATCTTTATTAGTTGAGAAATTTTACTCCAAAATGGCTTAATCAAGTCACATTCAAAAATCAAATGTTTGATATTTTCTTGTGTATCGCAAAAATCACAGTTGCCACTGTTGTTTTTATCCCACTTACTAACGAATAGATTTGTAGTCAACAGATTATGTAGTAGCTTATAACTAAATTCTGATACAGATTTATCAAATAATGAGCGAACTTTATTTTCATATATCGTATCGAAATGACACTTATCTATTTGGAATTCTCTACACCAGATATTTTCCATGATTGGCGTGTGCGATTTCTTTTTTATTAAAATGTTGTAGAAAAAATAAGATTTTTTATTAGAAATATCTTCAAATTTACCTTCAAAATAGAATTGTTGATTAGCGTTTGCGTTTAAGAAGTTTATAGCTTGCATGTTTATAAATGCGAGAATAGTGTTTCTTTAAGGCGGTCTTTACAATTAGATAATCGCATAGGAAATTATTAGTGGATGCTGATTTTTCTTTAATTTCATTTACACTTTTGAAACCATTGTAATTAAAAAGGTCTTTTACTAAAAAAGACCCCCTTTGGTCCAATTAGGAAAGAATAGTGGTTTACTTTTAAAGCAAATGTTTTTATTAAGCCAAATATTCTAATTTGAAAGATTTGTAAAAAGTATTGTCCTTACATTCATTAAAAGCCAAGACAACCTCTTTATAAAACTCAGGAAGGGAGTAAAGTATGAGATCATTGTAATTTGTTACGCTTGAATTTGTTAAAAACGCAAAATCTATATTATTTTTGTACAAAACAGCATTCACGAGAAAGAGTAGACTGCTTTTATCCTTCGAAATCTTTTTAACCCATGAGGCTTTAATAGCTTTGACTGTAGACTCAAAGTCAGTGATACCGATTCCACCTTCGTTTATGCTTCTTATTAAAGTTTTGCGTTTAATTCTTTCACGGTTACCCCAAATGAAGGAGAATATTATTTTGTTTAGACTTTTGATGAAAGATTGCTCTGGGTTCTCTAATATTGAAGCAGTGTATAATATTTTTGAGATTAATAGAAAATTTATAATTTGACATTTTTCAAAAATAGTTAATTTTCTGCTTCGCCAAGAGTCAAGTATCTTTTCAAATTCTCATAATTTGCATAGGCAGCTTTTTTCATTTCTTTCTGCTTCGTCATGCCCGATGTATATGCCGAGGCATTTTATTGTTTTAGAGTTAATTCTGACACCATGTTGAGATGTCTCCCCTTCCATGTCTTGTTTAAGTTCTCCCAATAAAATACATTCTGTTTTTGATAGGTTCAACGTTGTACCGGACATTGACCCGAAATCTTCAATGATTTTAATTACGTGTTTAAGAGATTCTTCATCTTTGACTGGAAAAGTACTATCATCCGCATGCTGCATGCATTTTATTTCCCTTCGCGTATTACATATTTTAAAACCTTGAACATAATCTGCTTCATTTACCTTTGTAGATAAAATTTCCATTACGAATAGAAATAATATAGCTGAGACAGGACACCCCTGTCTGATGCCTCTATTCATCTGACATTTTCTAGAAATCCAGCAATTATTTTTTTATGTGAAAATGAGGGTTTGTTTATAAAACTTTGATCCATCTGACAAAGTTGTCACCGAAGTTAAACTTCTTCATTGATTGAATCAGAAATTCCCACTCAACTGAGTCAAACGCTTTCTGAAAGTCAGCAAATAACAGTAAACCCGATTCATTGTTTCTTTCCCGGTATTCAAAGATATCTAAAATAAGTCTGGCATTCCTACCTATATATCGTTCTTTTATATACCCAGACTGATCCGGGTTAATTAATTTATTTATATTTTTTTTAAACGTCGAGAAAAAACGCAGGCTATAATTTTGTAGTCGCAATTTGTTGAACTTATGGGACGGTAAATTTCAGGTTTATCAAGATCACCTTTCTTGTGAATTAAAGACAAAACGGAACATTTTTGTGTATTTGTTAACTCCTGTTCGCATCATACATATATTGTTTTAAATGTTTCCAAAACATTTTGTAAAACTCAACTGGTAAACCGTCGAGTCCAGGGGATTTGTTGTTTTTCATTTCAAGTACTGCCTCGGAACATTCTTTTAATGTAGGAAATTTGTCAAAAAAATCTTTCTCGTCATCAGTAAGCTTAGTTTGCTTTTCAATATCGCGTAGGTAATTATTTATTCTTTCAACTGTAATTTTCTGAGATGAATACAAGTTTTCATAGTTGATTAAGACTAGTATATCATCGGTCTTGATAAAGATTTTTTCATTGACTCTAATTCTGTTTATAACGTTATGTGATTGATGTTTATTTTCGAGCCTTAAAAAGTATGCTCTATTCTTGTCACCCTCATCTATCCATCTTGCTCTTGATCGAATTTGTGCTCTTTTTGCCTTGTTTTCGTAATAATTATCGAGTTGATTTTCAAGATCTTTTTTTCGTATCATATCTATTTCTGTAAAGTGCTTTTTTCCATTGTTCAATTTCGTTTTCGATCTTTTGTATTTTTTC